GGAAGGTATTGTGGTGAGGAGGTGTGGTCTCCCTCAGAAACTGACACAGAGGGAATGCTGCAAATCGCTCGATGAATGGAAGCAGATGGGTGGAACAGGAAGAGAAAGTATCAAATGCCACAATCTGCCTGGTTCAAAAAGGATAAAAAAAGAGCTAGATAGATTCATGGAGGTTAGGTTCATCAATAGCTATTAGCCAGGATGGGTAGGAATTATGTCCCTAGCCTCCGTTTGTCTGGAAATGAATGACAGGATAGGGATTATGTTATAATTAACTTTTGTGTTCCCTCCCCCTGGGGCATCTGGCATTGGCCACTGTTGGCAGACAGGATACTGGGCTAGATGGAGTTTTGCTCTGATCCAATATGGCCATTCTTATGTGAATGGAAGCAGAGGTGTGGAACAGGAAGAGAAAGATAAAAAGATCAATTCAGGAGCTCAGCTGAAAGGGAGACGTGAAAAGAAATAGGCTCTTCTCTGCTGCTGGAGTAGGATGCCAAGGAGAATTGCTGCTGCCCTTAGGAACTGCACGAGCTCCCAGAAAACCCTGATGTTCGTAATGCTCAGGATCTGCTACTGCTACCCATGGCAGTGTATCCCTGACGACAACCCCTGGATGCAGATATATCTGAGAGGAAGAGTAGGAAGCAACCCTGGGGAACCAAACTAACATCTGGCTGTGGTACCACTGGAAACACAGCATGTTGCCGGTGGATTCCCACCTGACACAGGAACAGACCACTCTGCCACTGTTTGGACCCTGGCCCAGGACGCGGTGGAGCTATAAGGGCCCATATCCCACTATCCCTGCCACTCCATCTTGGGATGGCAGTACTCTCTTACCATAGGCTAGGAGGCCTGCACTTCTCGGTCATCCCTGCTGGAGCCCCCAAAACAGTACTTGGTTCTCACCTCTGCCAGAGCCTCACAGATGGTGCTTGGTGTTCACTTCTGCTGGGGACCCAAATACTATATTTAGTGCTATAGCTCTGCCTGACTGTAGGTCAGAGTCTTGACTATTTTTTCTCCATCTTTCTTGAAGGCTGGAAATATAAATTGCTATAGTTTTGCCTGACTATAGGCCACATTCTAGACTCTTTGTGGCCCTGTCCTCCTTAATGGCCAGGGACCACTGAGTACCACTAATTCTCCCTTTCCTGTTTTTTGAAAAGTTCTCTAGGGGTACGTCTACACTTGCTCCTTAGTTTGAGCGAGGGATGCAAATGTAGGTGACCGAAATTGCTAATGAAGCGGGGATTTAAATATCCCGCGCTTCATTAGCATGATCTTGCCCGCACGTTACTCCGCTCAACAGCTGATTCGAAAGTGAAAGTGCATGCCGGGACATGTTAGTTTGAACCAAGGAGTTTGGTTCGAACTAACATGTCCTGGCACGTACTTCCACTTTCATATCAGCTGTAGAGCGGAGTAACGGCCAACCCCCTCGGTGCCTACTGGGTCTCATTCTTTTCTCTGGTGGTGAAAGAAGGGGTCAATTGTTGAAACTGCAGAATCTTAAAAAAAAAATCTCTATATGAACTGAAGAATGAACCACCAGTTGTTGATGTCTAACATCATGCAGAGAAGGCAGGGTAGTTGAAAGACAGAGCAGCTGGAGCAGTTATCTTTCCTTCTGGTGCTCTGCTCTACTTGATTCCTTTGAGATGTTGGAAGACATGAGGGATAAGTAAAGAGTGTTGCTGTTGCTTGCTGTATATAATGGCCTCCATTGCAGATGGCCAGAGTCAGAATCTGGCATTTAGGGTACCAGATGACTTGTATTCAACTGGAATGCCCAGTTGAAAAGGGAGGCTGGCAGCTCCAGTCAGCACTGCTGACTGGGCTGTTAACAGTCCAGTCAGCAACGCAGAGGGTTTAAGACAGGTTAAGCAGGTTTCTTGGCTCCATGCATCACCAAGAAGTGGCAGCCATTTCCCCCTCCCTGCAGCCTGTAGACACAAGGGTAGCCAGGAAAGCTCTGCATGCTGCCTCCATCTCTGCAGCTCTCATTGGCTGGGTACCAGGACCAATGGGAGCTGCAAGCACCATGCAGAGTCATGTGGCTGTGCCTCTGCCAAAGGGCTAGACATACCAGCCACTTTCTGGGAACAGTGCAAAGCCAGGAAAGGCAGGAGCCTGCTTTAGCACTGCTGCACCATTGACAAGGAGCAGACCCAACAAATCCCCTGCCTCAAGTTAGAACCCCGTCCCACACTCCATAACAACTCCCTTCCCCTCCCACAACTCCTGAGACCCTTCCCACACCCAAATCCTCTTCTGGAGTCCACACTCTGTCCTTGTTCCACACCTCAGCCCTGTGCCCCAGCCCTAACCTGTTCCTGTGCTCCAAACCCTTTGGTCCTACCCTGGAGACCCTTCCTGCATTCCAAATCTCTCATCCTCAGCCCCACCTCAGAGCCCACACCCTGCAGCCAGAGCCCTCACTCTCCCCCATACTCCAACCTCTTCCACCAACCCAGTGAAAGTAAGTGAGCATCAGAGGGAATAAGGGCTGGAATAAGTAGAGGGCAGGGCCTCAGGAAAATAAATGGGTAGGGCATCAGTGTTCCATTTTCTGCAACTGGAAAGGCAGCCCTCAGGAAAATAAAAGGGTAGGGCAAGGGTGTTCCATTTTCTGCAACTGGAAAGGCAGCAACCCTATCTGGCATACTTTTTTAAAAGCTCAGGAACCGAGAAATTCACTATACTGTACTTAGACTGTCTGTGAACAGGTAAGATTTTGTTCTTGTTGTTTCTGCTGCACTGTAAGAGCAAATGGAGCTTAAAAAAATAAGACAAATCTCAGATTCCAAGTGTTTATAAACTAGGTTAGACAACACCAAGAGGAGTATCTGGGTGAATCAGTTACATCAATATACATTGTAGAGATTAGGCACACATCTAGCAATTAGATCTTAACAGAATTTGAATGGATTTCAACAGAACTGATAGAACAAATACTTAGTAGATTGGGGGAGGTGTTTGTGTTTTTACTTTAGTCATAATAGGCGGGAGGGAAAACAAAAGGCACTTTTAGGAAGACAGCAATATGGTGAGGCCCACTAGACTCGTGATGGCAACCTGCAGCCCACTAACTTCCTGACTGCCCTCCTCCCTAACACATCTCTCATGCCCTGAGGCACTGGAGGCATGCACTGCCTACTCTTCTCTTTCCCCCATCCCAGCACTTTCAAAGTGCCATGAATCGGCTGATTCATGTTCCATCCCCGCTCCTGCCTCTCCTTCCCTCCTCCCAGAGGTGGAACACCACAAATCAGCTGCTCGGGCCTGTTCCAGTTCTGGAAGAGGGAGGGAAAAGTAGGGATAGAGTATGAATCAGACAATTCGTGGGGCTCCAAAAGTGCTGGGACGGAGGGAGCATTTACTATACTTTTTCTAAATATCTCCAAGCAAAGAAATGCAATGTACTAAGCAGTTTCACAGAAGTAACAAAGAAATCTGCAGCATGGTTTCATTAACTAAATACTGATTCCACTACACTGTACAGATTTTATTTCATAATTCAATTACTGGAATTACCAATTTGTTCCATTAATATTGTTCAGTTTAGGTTTCTAAAAATTACTCCATTTTACTTCTAATTATTTGAGAAAAAAGAAATTGTATTAGCATCTAAAACAATCTGATTACAAAGTGTAAGTAATAACTAATCTGTTTCTCTGCATCTAATTATTTTGGGGGGAAGGGATACTAAGTAAACCGATAAATAACTGAGTTATGGCAGTAAAAAGAAATACAAAGTTGATCACAGCTATGAATGTCACTGGGAATCACATACGCACACATTCTCTCTCATTTAATGGGGAGAAAAGAAACTCCAGAAAACCCAAATCCCAATCAATGCACAATTTATCTGCTCTACAGTTGATATTCTATTTAAATAATCAAGTCCAAGACTATGCAACCCTTACACAGATGAATGCAACTACTTGTTAAGTGCTTATCAATGTAAGGATCGCATATCAATCTCTAAATAAAATAAAATAAAATAAAATAGATTTTTCATACAGGAGTCTCTAGTTTCTCTTGTTTGCATATACAGTATTTGCAATGAACTATCCTGGCATAAGTATATTTTTGTGAAATGTGTAAATTCGACCATATTTTATTCAGTGATGCTCCTTGAATCTGGAGCATTATAAACAGCTACAATGACAATCATCCATTTGAGTGCATTCTAGATAAAATGCTCTGCTCAGGTGATCAGACATTTACTTAGCATTACTGCAATTAAAAAGCTCTTTGTGTAAGGGACACCATATACTTTGCCTAGAATATCTCAAAGAGCACATAATTGCAATAGCACAGATGTGATTAGCCTCCTCATCACTTCTTTCTAGAAAAAGCCTTCTGTTTCAGACAGAGAATTTCAATCTTAGAGTGATGATGCCCTAGGAACTTGCAAATATGTTGGGAGGTGGGAAGCAAGCAACCACCCTGCCCTTCGCATACTGCTAAACAGTCACTGGTCTCAGCCAGATGAGGGGAGGAACTCAAGGTCCCTAAGGGGAAGAGTATGGAAGAAGTTCAGAACCTGGTTTAGGAAGCTGTAAATAGACCAGAATTTATTCAGTTGGGTATGGATAAAAAAAACTGACACACAATAATAACATACAACATTTTAAAATGTAAAATAAAATATTTCCTTCACCCCTCAGGTCAGATAAACAGCTGAAGGGTAATTTAATGTCCAACACTTTGGAAGCAGTTTGACATGCATTTAAAAGTCATTTTCACCATAAGGATAAAAGAATAAAAATGCTATAACGTATTTTTAAAACCAACATTTCCTTGCTAAAGCACGGTTTTAAAACCAATATTTCTTCTCTAAAGCAGTCTTTTCTAATACGGTTTTATTGGTTTTATTTCTATGTTTATCACTTCACAGTTATATATGCAGTATCAGTAAGTCTGTTTCTTTGACAAAAATTTGTATAAATTAATTCCCCTGCCCTCTGCCATCAAACACACACACTAAACTCATAGTACGGCTAGACTGCGGGGGGGCTTTCAGGATACCAGAGGTACTAAACTCCGCCGCGTCCAGAGAACATGTTGGCTCTTCCTCTTTTTTTTTTGCAGAAGAGCAAACGCGCTCTTTCGGAAGCCTCTGTATTCCTCATTCCACGAGGAAGAAGGGGGCTTTCAAAAGAGGCTATTTTTCTGAAATTTGGCCCAGTCTAGATGGGCCAAATTTCAGAAAAGCCTCTTCCAACAAAAGTATCAGAAAAAGATACGCAAATGCGGAGTGCATTTTGTGTATCTTTTTCTGAAAGATCCTCGCAGTCTAGATGTACCCCCAATGACAATTCTAAATCAACTGATTAATCCAGAAACCTAACGAATTAATGGAATTTAATCATTGTTCAACGCACCACGATAAATAAAGCTCTTTTAAAATCTTTCTTGTCTCATGATTCATACTAATTTAGTTCCTGATCTTACATCTGGATTTCTGCAGATGTTATAGTACCCTAAGATATCCTATTAATGATGTGTCCAAAGAGATCCAGTTAAGAGATACATATACTTATTAAAATTTTATTTTTAGTCTAGTTCCACAGACAAAGGATAAGAGATGAACAGTTCAAATTGTATCTAAGGAAATTTCTCACTTTTAAAATAAATTCACACACTTATACTTCAGTTACATGCACTTACCAGAATCTGAACGGCAGCTGATAAACTATCTAAAGGAAAATCTGGGAGTCCCAGTGTAGAAGATTCTTGGGAGCAGAGAGTTGTAGCAAAAGACAAGAGCTGAGAGATTCTGGAAATAAACAAGCAAGTGTAATGTTTTATACATGCAAAATATACTTTAAAATTTGTATCCCTAGGAAGCTAAATACAGCACAAAATATTGAAGCTCATTCTGAGTACAAGTAAATTTTATCTAAAAGTTCTAAAGTATTAAGGATGCACAATATGAAAACTGTAATTACATATGAAAAGCTATTTCAGCATATTCTCATATTTACTAAAAATTCACACAGTTCTGATCAGTCTATCGGGATTCAGGACAAAAACAGCACATAATCCTGGCAGGACATAACATTCAGTTGTTCAACTGTACTTTTTTATCATTATGAAAATTTACCTCTGTGTAGAAACATTTGATCCAATTGAGTATAATAGCTTAAGATGGTCCTGAAAATAGAACATAGCATCACATATCAAATTAATGTCTGGATTATACCATGGATCACAGTGCATATTGTTCAAGGTGTTTTTTATTTCTCATCTAATTAGACACTAAGTCTGCATATTGTTCAAGGTGTTTATTATTTCTCATCTAATTAGACACTAAGTCTCTTGTAGCCAAGAGCCTGGACTTGGCACATACAATTAATGACCTAAAAGAAAAAAAGCTAGCATATCTTTGTTTTAGGATTATATCATTTTATTGAAATTAATTAATTTTTGCTACAACAGAAGAATGGCCATATTGAATCAGAACATAGGTCAATCTAGCTCAGTAGTATCATTTTATTTAAATTAATTAATTTTTGTTACAACAGAAGAATGGCCATATTGAGTCAGAACATAGGTCAATCTAGCTCAGTATCCTGTCTTCCAACAATGGTCAACACAAGGTGCTTTAGAGGGAACAAACAAACAGTATGATCCATCCCCTGTTGCCCATTTCCACCTTTGGGCAAAGAGAAGGTTAGGGACACCAGAGAATGGTTTTCATTCTGCCCATCCTGGCTAATAGCCATTGATGAACCTATCCTCTACTAGAGCCTCTATTAACTTAATCTTTTGTTTCAGAAAGTAATTGGGCAATAATATGACCCCCCTCCCAAAAATGGGCTAAAATACTCTGTTCAATTATTAATTTTTGAACCTATAATCTGTAAAATACAAGATTAAAATACCAATTAGTTCTGCTCTATAAAGTTCTAATTGAGCTACAGCGGCACTTACCTTAAATGGTAGATGATAAACATCTCTTGCCTGAAATCTAGAACGAAGAGGAGGGTCCAATGGGTTACCAGAATATCTGGGTACCGGCAGGCCAAGTGCTATCACTCGAAAATCTTCACTTACGCGAACAATCTTCCATGCATCTAACTCAGTTTTAGTATGTTCCTGAATTAATTAAAATAAGGTAATAACTAGAATGCAATGACAACTTTGGGGAATGCTATGATGCCTGAGCTAAGACTGAAAACCTATAGGTGAGGAATCAAAAGTGCTCTTCGAGTTACATGTGGTCCTCTGCTACACTCATCTTTACCACAGAGGGGCCAGGTTGCAACGTTCCCTCTTGATTTAAAGTATTCACTTTGTGGATTTCTAAGGTAAGGGTGACCAAAAAGCCAATGTAACTGTTATGTATTTAAATCTATAGAATTAAAAGTCTATAACTTTAGCAAGTTTGAGGGGTTTTTTTGGTTTTGTTTTTGTTTTTTAACTACAACAAAGAGTTGCTCTTTTGAACAGGAGAACAACAATAAAGAGTTGCTCTTTTGAACAGGAGAACACTCTGTCCACAAGCAATAATACAGATTTATCAGTACACTCATTTCTGAAGAGTACATCTATTTAATATTGTATACTTTAATCATGTTGCTAGAAAAAGACTAATTGTGGACAAAGAAGACAGTTCTGCCATCTTCCCACATTACTGTCAGGTCTTGCTTGAAATTGTACAGGACTACCTGCAGACGCAGAATAATGATTCACACAGAAGAAGAACAGAAAATGAGCCATACCTTACATAATACAATATTCCCTAATCAAAACAACAACTGTGATTGGATAGGTTGCAAAACAACAATATTAGATTTAGTACCACTGAAAGAGATTTATTCAAATCAGATAACATGAGCAGTATACCTAAGAGACCAATATAAAGCCATGTTACCATTAGTAAGGCATAAAAAAATGTACTGCACAATCTCAATCCACTCCTTTTTTAATGTAAATTCAGTTTTCACGTCTTCCCCTTAAATATAATATGCTAAAAAGAGACATTATTTTGTACTTCAATATGTTAATTACATTTTCATAAGTTACCTTTCCTAACTGAAACAGACTGGAATGGATCAGAACTGCTCTAAAAGAAGTGGCATAACAACCAACCACGAATACCTCAGAAATGAGTTATAGTATTTAAAGGATAAATGGGCAATGTTATGCAATACTACGTAGGAATGTGGTTGTATTTAAATTAGAGTACGGCAAAAAACTGGACAAAGTTTATTTGTTGAAAAATGCAGTATTAGGTCAACTGAAACTATTAATGAATTCAAAAAACAGGACTATGTAGCACTTTAAAGGCTATTCATGAATTCAAAAAACAGGACTATATAGCACTTTAAAGACTAACAAGATGGTTTATTAGGTGATGAGCTAATAAACCATCTTGTTAGTCTTTAAAGTGCTACATAGTTCTGTTTTTTGTTTCAGCTAGACTAGACTAACACAGCTACATCTCTATTACTATTCATGAATTTTGACATACATCTGCCAAAACAATTTCAAAGTAGATTCATGAAGCAACCTGTAGTGGCAGCCCCCTTCTGCCCTACTTCCTTGAGGTTAGCACACTCACCTAGAATGCTGGAGACCGGATTCAAGTCTCTGCTCTGCATGACTCAGAAGAGGGAACTGAACTTAGATCTCCCCCATCCCGGGTGAGTGCCCTAACAATATATACAGTATTCTGGAGTGTGCCTCTCTCAAACTCTCCTATTGAAGCTCTCCATTGTGTAAAATACTTAAACAGTCATTGGAACAGAGAGAGAAATCCAGGACTCCCCTTCCCAAGATCCCTAACTATCACTTACTCTCTCTCTGGCCCACTGAATATTATTTCATATAAAATTAAACAGTTTCAACAGAAGAAATTGGGCTAGACTCACTCTGGTATACCCTACACTCACAAAGGACACTCACAAAGGAGGAGGACCCAAGTTCAAGTTGCTGCCCTGAATCAGACAGTGGGGAGCATTAAACCTGGATCATCCACACTTCAGGTGGACCATACAGAATAAGGTACAAAGTCACAACCTCTTCATCCTCTGATGATTTTGTGAATGATATTTCCAAATTGCCTTTCCTTTTATTTAGAAAAGCAGTTAAAATACTCCAATCCAAATTAAACATTTTAGTCCAAAATATTTTGCTAGACCTGAAATAATTTTTATTCCTGTTTTGCTTGAAAGAATAAAAAAAATGTTTCAGCTTGATCCAAAACTATCCTTTTCAATTTTTTTGTTTGGCCAGCATTTGCACTGTATGCCTTGCAGAAGGCATAAGGGATCTGTCAAAAAAGGCTTTCTTTCATGACAGATCCCCTTCCTGACTGCTGCTTTTTGCCGACAAAGTGCTGAGTCGGCAAAACACGGTGGCCATTTTTATGCAAATTAGGCACGGGATATTTAAATCTCTGCCTCATTTGCAATGTCGACCTGCCTAATATGCATCCCTCTGCCGGCAGAGGGATGGAGTCTAGACAAACCCTAAGTGAGAAGCTACAATGTTTTATTTACATTCCCCATCTCAGCTTTTCTGTCCCTTGAAGTTACAGGTTGGCCATGTTCATATAGAGTTATCTTTACAAATATGCAGACCAAATTCTAAAATTATTTTAAAATTATTATAAATGGAAACATTACGGCTGATATGGCAGATGGGGCTAGATATAATATGAAAATATATATATAGGTGACAGTCAGGTATATGGTAGGAAACTGATTATGAGACAGAAAAACATGGGACATGGAAGTAGAATACAGAAGACTGGCAACCACCTGCTCAGACTTAACTCTGTCTCATAAAACCTGAAAAAATGCACCAAAGATCAAAGTCATCAGTTAAAAATATAAAACCCCATTGCTTATTCAAAGGAACCATTTCCAAAAATCTCCCCCATGATTTATTATTGGCCTTTTACACATATTTTTGTAAATTATAGGATGAGTGAAGGATTATGTGGCAGCAAAGCATGTATTACATCTCTTAGCCATTGATTTCCAGACATTCTAAATTTTTAGAGGGCTTTGTGAAGAAAGCATTTTTTAAGTCAACGAGCAATCCTGTAGCACCAGGCATTAATCCTGCAGGAATGAACTGGAGTGGAAATTACAGAATCCAAGAGTACACACAACAGCAAAAGCAGTTACCTGTTATTTATACCCTGGATTCGGTAATTTCCACTCCAACTCATCTCATGAAGCGGGTTTTACACATGAAAATTCGTGATATATTTGATACTCTCTAAGGTGTCACAGAACTACTCATTGTTTTTAAAGTTACAGACTAACATGGCTAACTCTCAGAGTTATTTTGAAATGTTAGTTCAAATCCACTGGAACACTTCCCCACACAACTTTTTTCACAGATGTTTTTCTTTGTGAATCAGAATAACATACACTTGCAAGGAAAAAGCAAAATTTACTTAAAAAAAACATGCTTTCTCTATGAGAATAAAGGACACCAAGGAGGAATTTTTAAAAGTATTTTGAAATGATGGATTAAGTGGCTGATTTTACACATGATCTTCGCTAAGCTGGCTTCTATCGTGAGTCACCCTGTCACACACATGAAGGTACCTCTATTGGATGTACCCTGTTCATCACTTCCCTTCTTAATAGGATCACTTCCCCGTCAAAAACGACAAATTCAAAACAGCATAATGCTTTCCTGTACCTGTAGCAGCTTGTCATAACGTTCTGCAGCCATAAGGAAGCGCCCATCTTCAAGCTGCATTTCTCTGTTCTCCAACAAATTGTTTAACACAGGCAGGACATTCCGCTCTGCCTTCTCCAAACCTTCCAACACAAGGATTCTGCCTTCTGTCGCTGCACGGACTGCACACTTTTTCAACAAAAACAACATTAAGAGACAAATACAAAATAATATGGCATTTGAAATCCAACTGAAAATGAAGGGCTTGAGTCTGTCTGCATGCATTCTAGGCACAGTGCTTACACCAATACCTAAGTAGTAAATACTATTTCCATTAGTAGGCATTTGCAGGATTTCACCCTTACATAAAAATTAATTGAACAAATTTTTCTGTAGAAAGAATAGTCGCAGTAGGTATTTCCCTAAAAAGCTATTTAATCCTAGAAACAAAACAGCATCAAAACAAACACTGAAAATTATTTGTGCAATGTGTTTTTGTTAAAAGTTTGATAATTTTTCAAGCACAGAACATAAAACCAAATATTAAAAAAAAACTTAAAAAACAACAAGGGTCCTATAGCACCTTAGGGAATGTCTACACAGAAAAGTTATTTCAAAATAACTTTACTAGCATCTACACAGCCAAACCACTACAGGCAGTCCCTGGGTTACATGGATCCGACTTACATCGGATCCCTACTTACAAACGGGGTGAGGCACCCCCGCACTAGCTGCTTCCCCCCAGCAGACCAGGGAGATGCGAAGCGACTTTTCCCAGCAGACACCTCAGCTTGAGAATAAAGGACTGAGGGAAGTGAGGTGTGGGAGAATAAAACTGAGCTCTGGAGAAATGTTTGGCTAGAGTTTCCCCTACAATATGTACCAGTTCCGACTTACATACAAATTCAACTTAAGAACAAACCTACAGTCCCTATCTTGTACGTAAACCAGGGACTGCCTGTATATGACGTTTCAAACAGGTGTTAATAATTTAAAGCATTTTCAGCTAAGTTTTAATGAAGCAGAAAAAGGGAACAATTTGGAAAATGTGAGTAAGTAACAAGCTTCTATGTAAACATTACATTATGAATGATTGGTTGGATCCAAAAAGTATTTTCCATATAAGTTTTATTACTCCAGAACCTAATCATGATCCCACTGACTTCAATCCCAAAATTACCATTGCTTTTAATGGGAGCTAGGGTTATTCAGTGCCTTTGAAAATTGAACATTATCTGATTAGGTGCCCTAATATGAATTAAGAACATTATTTTTAAATGATGATGATTACTGATAGCAACCATTTTATAATTAAATAAGAGTTTAATTCTTTTTATGGTTAACAAGTAACATTTATTTTATTTTTGTTTAAATGTACACAACTTATTGATCAAACATCTTTAGAGTATATGAGAAATTAAATGGTTCAACCCTGATTTCTCTGTGCAAGGGACATGGCATTGAATTCGAATTAAGAATACAACCAGAATTTCCTTTTTATTTTTTATTGGCTTTTTCAGTCGCAGATGACAGTGATGTGCACTGATAACAGAGATTGTTGGAACTGAATGAAGAGGAAAATACAGGCAGTCCCTGGGTTACATGGATCCGACTTACATCGGATCCCTACTTACAAACTGGGTGAGGCAACCCCGCACTAGCTGCTTCCCCCCATTTGACATAAGGAAGGGGAGTTAAGGAGGGGTAAGTGGAAGGACATGAGGGAGGAATGATGCACAAGATCCCAGTGGGGCAGACCAGGGAGGCTCTTAGTGCTCCTCAGGGTGGAAGGTCTCCCGCAGGGCCTCCTGGATACTGACATCCTCCCCGATGGACCTCCCAGATGGCAGCCTGCAGAAAGTGCAGCCAGGCTTGCAGCAACGCGTACATGAGAAGCACCAGAGTGCCCAGGGCAGCTCTGGCTCCATGCTGCAGAGTGCTGTGGTGTCCCGAGTGAGGGCAACCAGAGCACGCAGAGACAAAATGCTTTGCTGTCTCTCATTGAGGTAGGCAAGCAAGCAGGGAAACCTGAGAACCAGCTGTCCAGGGTGGGTCCCTTTAAGCACAGGCCTCAGACAGCCTCAGGCAGCAGCCACACAAAGTAGCTCCTGACCTGATACCCTGCCAGACCTGGTTCCGGCCGGCTTTAAATGCAATTCAGCATCCACTCAGTGTGGATGTGCTATTTCAAAATAGCAAAATGCTATTTCGAAACGTGTAGACACGTTTTTTCAAAATAACTATTTCGTAATAACACTGTAGTATAGACATACCCTTAGAGACTAACAAAAATATATAAATAGTACCATGAACTTTCTTGGGCACAACCACTTCTTCAAACAACAACGTGGGTTGTGCCCATGAAAACTCATGATACTCTTTATATATTTTTGTTAGTCTGTAATGTGTTACAGAATCATTGCTGTTTTTTAAGCTACAGATGAACATGGCTACTCCCCTGAGACTCTTAAATATTAGAAGTTAAAACAATAAAAATTACAAATATGGTTAACTTGTTCCATGTTCACAAAGCAAGGTTTACTGAGTCAAAGTGAAAGGAAGACAGAAAATTCAGACATTCACATTCAGATGGTGGATTCAGGCCCTTAAAACACATAAGTAGCAATCAAGTATACAGTGACAAACTCAAATCATATCTTAGTGTAATGCTGACAGACACTACGCCATCAGTTGACAGGATCGAACCTGCGAGGTCTTTAGCTCAATGTATAAATCTCTACTGCATAAGCTAAAATGCACATGCACAGCGCATAGTCAACCTGTGGAACTCCTTGCCAGAGGAGGCTGTGAAGGCTAGAGCTATAACAGAATTTAAAGAGAATCTAGAGAAGTTCATGAAGGTTAGGTCCATAAAAGGCTATTAGCCAGGGGGTAGGAATGATGTTCCTGGACTCTGTTTGTCAGAGGCTGGAGACGAATGGCATGAGACAAATCGCTTGATCATTGTCTTCGGTCCATCCCCTCCGGGGCACCTGGTGCTGGCCACTGTCGGCAGACAGGCTACTGGGCTAGATGACCTTTGGTCTGACCCAGTACGGCCATTCTTATGTTCTTATCTTAGGCTATGTCTACCGTGGCAACTGAGCAACAAAACTTTTGTCATTTAGAGGTGCTAACTCACTGTTCCCACTAAGACTCTCCAACCATGAGTGGAATGATTTTTGGCTTGTGCTCCAATATTGAGGTCATGTGTACTGGTTTGGATGTGTGCCACCGTAGCACCCAGTTTATTAACCCACACACATTCCCAGCCGCTGGAGCAGAAACACCCTCTCCCCCACCATGCATTATGTCCCATTCCCAACCACTGGAGCAGACCAAGCACCCCAACTGCCATGGGGCAGGTCCCATTCCCAGCCCCAGACACCAGAACAGGCACTGCCCCTCCCACCCGCCCTGTGGCAGGCCCCGGCACCCCCACGCAGCCACAGCAGGTCCCAGCCACCTGCCTCAGCGGCTTCCTCATCACACCATCTCAACCGGCCCCACCCGCCAGAGCAGCTGCCCACCATGCGAGTGCTGCTGCGCAGGTCTCCAGGAGAGGTAAACGGGAGAAGAAATTTCTGTGTGTGGCCACACAGGCATGCACCTTAGTGGAAACTATAGTGCTAAAACCCTCCTCCCTGAAAGACAAAAGTTTTGCAGTGGTAAATGTCACTGTGCACAACCCATAGGAAAGAATACTCAACAGCACAAATGCCACTCTTTGGGAGTGAATTATTTTGTCAACAAAAGTCCCAACAAACAGCAACTACATTGCCTGAATTTTAGCTACGTGGCTGTATCTGCACAGCTGTGTCACTAAAAGCTATGTAGTATAGACAAAGCCTTAGCTAAGCCAGTAGTTGTCTCGTCTATTTCTAGCTGGGCTAGGTGCCACTAGAGGGGGACAGAAGACCACATGAAGCAGGCATGAGTTACCTTAGCATTTGCGAGTGTTTTTTTGGGAGCCAGTGCAATGCTACATATCTGGACACTAAAATGTTGCATCAGTGAAACGTATCTTAAGTCACTACTTTACACACTAACAAAAATTAGTTGCCTGAAGATGTTTATGTCAATGTAATAAGATGTAAAATCCTTTTGCTGGCAGGTACTTTTGAATATACATAGTGAATATTAGATATTCAGATGTGCCAATGAATATTTACTACCATTGATTTATGCTTTTTCAGTCTTTTCCATTTACTTTTAGCACACCCAACAATTGTGGAACAAAGGTACAAGTAAAAAAATAGAAAATGTCAATATTATGTTTACAAAAATTGCACAAAAGTTTACAAACCAAATCAGCACTTTTATGACAGTGTAACTAGATCACTGTTCTGCTGCTCCTGTGTAAAACCAATGTAACTCCATTAAAAGCAAAAGTTCATTGTTTATCCCAGGGGTGGGGAATCTTTTTTGGGTTGGAGGCCATTGACCCACAGAAAAATCAGTCAGGGGCTGCACACAAGTGAGTAGTTTAAAAAAACAAACAAACCCCAAAACAAACCCTCATTGATGTGGCCCCAACTGAGAAGCAGAAGCACTCTCCCCACATTCCGCTCACACACCAGAGCCTTGGGGGGCCCAATCTAGTAGATTTTATGTGCTTCAGCCCTGCAGAGGGGCAGCAAGGGGGCTGGAACACCAGCGTGGGCTCCCCATTCCTGGGGGGAGCCCTGAGCCTCTGGGGCCGGATCCAGGCAAGCCATCCTGTATAAGATTCCTTAATTCTAATACTACACTATTAACAAATAACTGATTTACACAATGAGGCAGCCTATCACACATGTTTAGAAAACAGGAACAGGGCTGATTTAGTTATAGGCAGCCTCTTACGACATCACAAAAGGTTTCCTTAAAGCACTTTTACAAATAGACATAGCTAAAAAGGGAAAATGGCCAAAATCTCTTCTAAATACCTATAGGAACATTTTATGTCCTCACAGCATCAAGTCCTTTGCTGAATAAGACAGGGGAATAAAAGGAAGGAAAATCAAGGGATAGGAGCTAATGTAAACAGGCAAAGTAAACAAGGAGAAAAGGGATAGTAAAGAACTGAAAGAGAAGGCAAGAAGAGGGAAGAAAGTAGGGATGTTAAATTTCGAGTAACTGACTAATGGAATAGTCAATGCAATTTGCATTAACTATTCGATAAGGCGCCTCCACCTTTGAAGTGTAGC